AATCCCAAGACGGGTTGCGGTCATTGCAACAAGTGATTCCTCTGTTTGTTTGCCTTTCATTTTATCGATCGGAATTTCTCTTCCTCTGGTTCATTTTTACAAACCTTGCTTCTTGCAATATCAGTCAAATTCGGAAACTTCAAACTTAGAGGGGCTTGTCACTCAAAGCAGGACTAGGCGAAGTCAAAATGTGTCTACCTTAGTCTCCTTTGGGAAGTTGCATCTTTTCCGTGCAAAATTTGAGCAGAATTTTCATTAATCCGTCCAAATCCTGAATTTTTTTCGGAATACATCGGACATCGGGAGTTTCGGGGACAAGCCGTACCCCCCTCCCCCCACGCGTGGGCCCAATTATGTTTACTTAAGTTTTTCTTCTTTTTTTTCCATGCAAAAATGATGCACAAATTCTCATAAATTCGTTCGGATCTTGGTCGAAAACATTCCGAAATTTTTGATTTCTAGGAACATTATCCCCCTCTATCCCTCTCTGAGTGTTCCACTTTCAAACTTCGAGACGAGTAAGTCAAAATGTCTCCGAGTTTCGCCCGAGGATTTTCAGGCTTTCCTTTGCGAACATGATTCGTCCAAATTTTTGGAAAATTTTTTGAACAACCCTTATTTCAGGTCTCTGGGGAGTGTCCTCTCTCCACAATTTGCTCTCAAATGTTCGAACTAGCGGACTAAAGTGTTTCCAACAAGCGCCTTTGGGAAAGCTCCATGTCTATCAACGCTGAAATTTTTCCCGAATTCTTTTCCCGCACTTTTCCCGAATTCGTTCGAATCCTGGAAATTTTTCGAAACTACCCCAGATTTCGGGATTTCGGGGGCAGTATCTCCGCTTTCTCCGGACTTGGTGCTTTCGGAACCTGCCGTTCTTTCTCTCGACGATGCCTTGTCAATTCTTGAGCGTTATCAGCGGCGGGACCGCAGCCGCGGACAGGTGTCGATGGCGCCATTCCTATCGCGGCAATCAGCGCTAATCATTGCGCCCCGCTCGTCGCGGTTCGACCATGCTTCGAACCAACCTTATCACGGTGGAAGTCTGAAGGTACGAAAAATTCCTATTTTTTCCTCCTTTATTTTTCCTATTATTTTCGCCGGGTTTTTCGTCCCTTCGCCGTGCGGGTCTTTCATCGGGTTCCGTTTTGTTGCTCGTTCGGTTTTTCTTCCTCCCCACCCCTCCCGCCTCCCCGGCGTGCGCAGCGCGTTGCTGACGTTGCGCCCCCACCCCCTCCCGCCCGGGCGGGCGCCTGTATTACGCTCGTTCCGTTTTATATTTAAAGCAAAAGTGAAACATATTTTCGCGAACGGAGTGGGAGGAGGAACGCGCTAGAGGGGGACCCGAGACCGTTACGAAGTGGAAGCGAAGTCAAAAAGAGAGGAGAGCGCAGTGCGCATGCGCGCATATGAGCACATAACAAGTGGGAATTGGACGAAACCACTCTCGCGCTAAAGGGGCGGCCGCGTGCTCTTCTAACACTACTCTTTCAAAACTCGTCGGGCTCGGCTAAAGCTCCCGCTATCCCTGTCCGCCATAATGGTATATACCGGCCCCGCTCAAGGACGGCTAAAAGCCTTATTTTTCCCTTTTTCGCTTTGCTCCCACTTTCGTTCGCGTCGCACCGTTCGATTTTTTTCCATCTCCCTTTTTTTTTTTTTTTTTTTTTTT